TTAGGACCAACAATATGGGTTCATCACTTCCCCCACACTTAAGGACCATCTAGGCTAACAGTTTAAGCACAAACAGTTGAATCGCAAGCAACACAACCGCAATCAAGGCAAGAATCAAGCATAACCGACTCATTCAAGCAACTGGGCATCACACAAGAGCCAAATATAACCACGACATCCCTCACCCTATTCTAAATCAAACATGCCAGGCAAATCAAAGTTCTCAGTCCTAAAGTCTACAGTCCGATTTTCCAGAAAAATAATAAATCTACCAAGATACACACCTGGAAACGCAAGTAGGACAGTAGAGGAGACACGAGAGAAGGGTGAGGGACGCGAAACCGCGCCCAAAATGGTCCGAAAAACTCGCCGGAGAATCGCCGGACGGTCGCCGGAAAGTCATCGAAAAGTGGCCAGCGATGAAGGTGGCGGCGGGGGCGGTGGCCGGCGGCGGAGGATGGTGGTCGGCGTCGACCAAAGAGGAGAGAGGGGAGAGGAAATGAGAGGAAGAGAGGGGAAGTTTTGGAAAAAATGAGAGGAGAGAGAAGGTGCGACTGGGGAATTTTCTTAAATAGCAAAAATACCCGGCCGGGCCTCAAAAATACCCCGTCGGGTATTTTGAAGGCATGGTCGGGGATTGCAAAACGCGAGAGTACCACATTTTTGGGTCAAGGTCTGGGGTTTTCCCTTTTGGCGCCCCGGAACACAGGAGGGGTCCCGGCCATGACACAAAAATACTCGGTCGGGTATTTTGTGTCACAGTCGGGTTTTCCCCCCTTTTTCGGCCAAAAGTCTCATTCTCTCATTTTTTAGACAAGCCGGTACGGTGAAGTACCAATGGGTGTCTTGTAGGCAGTGCGGTATGCCCAGAGAGCATCATCGAGCTTGGTGGACCAATCCTTGAGGGACTGATCCACCGTCTTCTCCAGGATACGGTTGAGCTCCCGGTTCGTCAGCTCGGCCTGGCTACTTGTTTGAGGGTGATAGGCCACAGACACCTTATGAGTGACACCATAGCGAGACAGTAACTTATGAAACTAGCCCTAGAAATGGGTGCCTCGATCGCTTATGATGGCTCTAGGTGTCCCGAACCGGGAGAATAGCTGCTTCAAAAAAACACAAACACGTCTAGCATCATTAGTGGGCAAAGCTTGAGCCTCGGCCCACCTAGAGACGTAGTCAACAGCAACTAAGATGTAAGTGTTTCCAAAGGATGGAGGGAAGAGGCCCATGAAGTCGATACGCCAGACATAAAAAATTTCACATGTTATAAATACATTATGGGGCATCTCATCACGGGCAGAGATGTTACCTGACCTCTAGCATCGGTCGCACCTGCGTGCGAAGGCCTATGCGTCCTTGAAGAGCGTGGGCCAATAAAATCCCGATTGTAGCACCTTCCTCCCCGTGCGGCTTCCTCCGTGGTGACTGCCAGTAGGTCCTTCATGACAGTGAGATAGAATGCCCTCCATATCACTTTGCATGACATAGCGGCGATGATCCCGTCAGCTCCGATCCTGAAGAGATGAGGGTCATCCCAGAAGTAATGCTTCAGGTCGGAGAAGAATTTCCTCTTGGTGTGAGTTGTCATCCCCTTAGGCAGCTGCTTGCCTACCGGATAATTTGAAAAATCCGAGTACCAGGGGGTGACACTCTCCACCAGGTACATCCTCACCAGTCTCTCATCTGGGAAAGAGTCATTGATCTCCTCCTCGAGGTTGTCCGTAGGTGGTGCATCCAACCGGGAGAGGTGATCAGCTGCAACATTTTCAGCTCCCTTCTTTTCCTGAATCTCGATATCGAACTCCTGAAATAGTAAGATCCATCGTATGAGCCTAGGCTTGGCATCGGCCTTGCTCATCAGGTATCAAATCGCGAAATGATCTGTGTACACGGTCACATGGGACAAGACCAGATAAGGACAAAACTTGTCGAAGGCAAACACCACCACGAGCAGCTCCTTCTCCATGGTGGTGTAGTTCTCCTGGGCATCATTGAGGGTCTTTGAGGTGTAATAGATAGGATGAAAATGTTGATCTCGCCTCTGCCCCAAGACAGCTCCAACAACAAAGTCACTGACATCTCACATCAGCTCTAACGGTAGGGACCAGTCAGGAGCGACCATGATAGGAGCATGAGTGAGGTTCTCCTTCAAGGTCGTGAACGCCGCTGTGCATGCATCGGTGAACTGGAAGGGGCATCCTTCTCAAGGAGCTTAGTCAGAGGCAGGGCGATCTTCAAAAAATCTTTGATGAAACGCCTGTAGAACGCTGCATGGCCTAAGAAACTCTGGATCCCCTTAACAGATGTAGGAGGAGGCAGCTAGGTGATAGTCTCGATCTTGACCTATCCACCTCAATCCCCATCTTGGAGATCTTATGCCCGAGAACTATGCCTTCACGAACCATGAAATGGCACTTCTCCCAACTAAGTGCCAGGTTCGTTTCTTCACACCGTTTAAGGACGAGTTCTAGGTTATGGAGACAGTGAGAGAATGAGTCCCCATAAACCAAAAAGTCGTCCATAAAAACCTCCATAATCTCGCAGACCAGGCGGTCAAAGATGGCGAGTATGCATCGCTAAAAAGTGGCAGGGGCATTACAAAGCCCGAATGGGATCCTCTGGTAGGCAAATGTGCCGAAGGGGCAGGTGAAAGTGGTCTTCGCCTGGTCCTCTGGTGCAATGGGGATCTGGAAATACACGGGCATCCCATCCAGAAAACAGTAGAACTCGTGCCCTGCCAGTCTCTCTAGCATCTGATCAATGAATGGCAGTGGGAAGTGGTCATTCCGAGTAGCGTCGTTGAGACGCCGATAATCGATGCAGACACGGTACCCAGTCACCGTGCGCATCAGGATGAGCTCGTTCTTCTCGTTAGGCACCACAGTCATCCCACCCTTTTTGGGTACCACTGGGTGGGACTGACCCACTCGTTGTCGGAAATGGAGAAGATGATCCCCACGTCCATCAGCTTCACGATCTCCGCCCGAACCACAACTTCCAGGTTCGGCGTCAGTCTCCTCTGCGGTTGTCTCACTGGCCGCATCTCATCCTCTAGCAGTATCCGGTGGGAGCAGAAGGAGGGGCTGATCCCTCGGATATCAGTTATCTTCCACGCCAGAGCCCGCTCATACTACTTCAGCAAGGCCACCAATCTGACCTTTTGCTCGAGTGTGAGGGTCGAGCTGATGATAACTGGAAGTTTATTCCCCTCCCGGAGAAACGCATACTCCAAGTGAGGAGGGAGGGGTTTTAGCTCCAGCTCTAGTGGCTCCTCCAAGGAGGTAGTGATGCGAGGTGAGGATGAGATCGGTTTGAACAACCTATCGCCCTACAGGAATGCGCCACTCTCCAGCGCGACCAACTGCTCCTCCAACTGTGGATCTTGCGATGCCTGCTCACCTAGCAAAATACAATGCTCAAGAGCATCGTCAATACCCGCACTCGTTATGGCGAGTGCGGTCTCAAAATCTGCTAGCACATCACAATAATCTAAGTCATCATGCAAATGGGAGTGTTTCCCATTCTCAGATACAGAAAAAGTAGTCTGTTCATCCCCAGCAGGCAAGATCAATTTACCACTATGCACATCAATAAACGCCTTGGCGGTGGCGAGAAACAGTCTATCCAAAATCAAAGGCACAACCACATCCTCATTTATATCCAGAATAACAAAATTAACAGGATATATGAATGCACCCACATTAACAAGCAGATCCTCTATGATACCCCTAGGATGCACAATAGAACGGTCAGCTAACTGAATGCTCATCCTAGTAGCTCTAGGTTCACCTAGGTCTAGCTTTTTAAACAATTTGTAAGGCATGACGTTAATGCTAACGCTTAGGCCCGCCAAGGACTTGCCTACATGCATGTTGCCAATAACAAGAGATATAGTAAAACTCCCTTGGTCTTTGCGCTTCTCGGACAACTTGTTCTGCAGGATAGCAGAACACTCCTCGCTCAGCATCACTGTCGATATATCTACCACTGCAACGATATATGTACCACTGCAACAATAGAGACACTATATCACTGCAGCGATAGATTTACCACTGCGGCGATAGATCTACCACTGCAGCGATAGACACACTATGTCACTGCAATGATAGATCTACCATTGCAGTGATAGATCTACCACTGCTCTGATAGACACATTATGTGGCTGAATCGAATTCGACCCACCAGGAAAGAAATTTTTACAAAACTACAACTGTCGTGATATACTATACTGAAGGAGACCAATAAATATATGAATTATGGTCGTTCAAGGAGAATTGCCTCACCTTAGGCAAATCCCGGTGCCGCCACTATCGGATTATCGAAGCTCTTCCGCAGATAGACGGTTGTCGACGGGAAACGATCAAGCGCAGTAGAAAAAAAAGACAAACCAGGTTCGAAGTTGAGGGTTTGGGATGGAAGACGGAGGACGATCGACGGGAGGGATGGGTCGACCGTTGTTGTTAAGGAGAGGATGGGTTACGGCGAAGGATAATGATTAGATGCGACGGCGGAGAAGGGTTACGGCCGGTGACGATTCTGGTGGAGATGGTGCAGGAGGGTTTATGGTTTCTGAACAGAGAGAGAGAGAAGGAGATGAAACAGTGACATAAAAACGGGAAGGGGGAATGAATTTTAAATTATGTTTGGGAACTGCTTCTTTCCCTTTTCAATGTATGTTGGGATCATTAATTACAAAATTAATTACAAATTACCAACTGTTAAATTTCTACCATTAGATTAACAGAAGTGAGAATGGACGGTAAAGAAGATGGGTGTCGAAAATCAGACTCTTTTAGGGGGTAGTCACGCCTAACCAGTTCCATAAAATGGCTCAAACAAATTAATTAACCCCTTCACCTCTTTTCTCCATTAATTGCATTCTCTTATTTTTACATTGTTTGAAGAGACGTGTATAACAACTGATGAACTGCATAAGCAATTTTCTTAAGGTCCAGTGCCATCATGTATAATGCCTTGATTTTGTAAATTTTTTCGAAGTGATTTATATGAATTTATTAAGTCATTGGAACTTCATTAATGAACATAGGAAAGGGTAAACGAAATTTTGGGCAAAAAATCCCAAGGAGAGATATAAACAGACTTAAAATGTGGCACAGTTCAAGCCAAAAATTGAGAGTCTATTCCAAGCGGTGCTGCTTGTGTGTTCCCAGAAGCATCTTCCTTCCCAGGACAATCTTCCTTCCCTTCTCTTGAGTTGGTTGCGCGGGCACAGTTTTCGACTTACTCTTCTGATTTTTATTTAGATAAGCCATTATAGGCCCTCGTTGACTGCCATCCGCCAGGGTGGACAACGTCATCCCGGTTCGCTGAGAGCTAGGTGGAGTCAGCTTTCTTTTTCCTATCATCACAAGCTGCACTGGGACATTGACCAATGTCTCGATGTGGGTGATATTCGATGGGCTGCATTGCGCAACCGGCTCTGCATGGCTCATCTCCGACGGGAGGCCCCATGTGGGGGAGGGGAAGGCACCTTCTCGCTTTCCTGTTGGTTAGCTTGTACCTCCATAGTTGCTGGGCCAGAGTTGACAGTGGTATCCAAGTTAGTGCCTTCAGTATCCAGAACATGGAAACGGAAGCTCGAGACCACTTTTACATCCTTCGCCTGGATTTTAGAAGGCTCCGCCATAGGGTGTGTCATTCCCCCTTGGGTCGATGACGCTTTCTTCTTTTGGTTACGATTATGAGGCTTCGCTATTATCCATTCCCCATGGATTGGGGCTGGAGCAGGGGTATGTGATGGCTACACTACAAAAAAAGGGGCCTATGCCAAGGGTTTTAACCCCTGCTACAAGTTGTAGCAAGGGTTTTGTCAACCCCTGCACCAACCCTCACCAATGCTGCCCCTGCTACATGTAGTAAGGGTTTTCATCAACCCACAGTGAAAGTTCTATCCAAGGGTTGTAGCAGGGGTTGAAACCCCTGCTACATGTCATTGTAAAATCCAATTATAAGATGTATGTACCAGGGGTTGTAACCCCTGCAAAATTCGTTGCTAAACTAGCAAGGGTTAAAACCTTTGGTTTATTCGGCACTAAATCAATTTGCAACCAAAATAATCGTCACTACAGAGAGATTTATTAACATATTGAACTATATAAAACCGTCACCAAAGAGAACCACCCAGATTGGTGGCTATAGATTGGTTTCCAGTACTTTGGTCACTATACACAATCTCAGACTTGTTGCTAGCTAATTTATATATATATATATCATTCTTGGTATAACTTAATACTCAATAGTAGTCAAATACCGTACACTATACCCATTAATATTCCATCATATTGTTTACATGGTAAAAAGCTAACTACCATAAATATTCAAAACATAATCCAAAGATACATGGCCTACTCAAAATAATCTAATGATCCCTTCTGTGTCAGCGTTCATGGAGTACTCCATAGTCCATCAGTATCGCCCCTTCTTGCAACCATCCCCAGTAACACATGCAAATATTGAACAGTCATTAATGGCGTTCATGTCAAAGCTTTTAGGAAAATTAGAACCACAGTCCAGTGAAATCTCAATAACCTAATAATGAGCAGAACATTGGGTTCATTTGGCCAATCCCTACTAATCTGTCTATGCTTTTCTGCTTCCTATACCATTCCTCTAGTGGAAAGTTCTTAGTGGAAAAAAATTATGAATAAGATTTGAATCCAAACCTTTACTATGAGATCAACTGCTTTGTATGCGGAATCTATTGGACCAGTTCCTACAGCGCAGGCGATGCTCCTCCCCGTCAGCATCAGTGAGTTTGACAGTGGCAGTGAATAGTCCAAGTGTTCAGCAAGTGACCTGTGTAGTAACAATCGCATTTCAGCGATACAAATTGTACCGAGTTCACATAAACATCAAGGGAGAGGGAAGAAAGTTTACCTGCAAGTCATGAAGTTTCCAAAGAGTTTCTTATTGGTAAACTTCATCCAAGACTAAAGTTATTAGGTCTGCAACAGTGGTAGGCTACTTACTAAAATTTCAAGTTGATGTCTTTGTCTTGGAACTTCCTCGATGAAAGGGTGGGTCTGGGGAGAAGAAAAAAGGGGAAAAGATAAGCTGTTGTCCGTAGAAATGAGACCCCAAACAAATGATGTTGTAACACTCACTAAGAGGTCCACTGACAACACTCTGTCAAAAGAAGAGTTTAAAAACAAGGAAGCTGACCTCACATGCTCATTACCATCACTTAGCCTTCCACTGCTATTGCCTGCAAGATTCCACCAAGAGCTACAGCTTGTTAGTTCACGGCTGCATGAACTAATCAACTAGGCGTAATATTTCGATTAATGTTTTGCTTTAGCACCTCCATGTAGAGACCAATATCAACATTGGCTTGATGTTTGTTATTTTCTCTCTTCTAGATAGTTTAGTCAAAAATCTGTACGTATTATCAGGTTGTGTTACATAGCCATTAAGTTGGACTACTCTCACATGCTCGTTACAAACCGAAAGCATCTATTGTTTGGGGCTTACTGTGGTCGAGATTCATTAATCAAGCTCGATTAAGTAGCAGAAGAAGCATTTCTACTGTCAACCATCAATGACTTGCTACTAAGCATGAGGAAACCCGGTTCGTAAAGGATTAGGACAGTAATTTTAAAAAAAGGGCTAAACAAAACCAGTTTCACTAACCCTTTCAGTTTTGTATCTGTATTGACAACCCTTAGTTCATATATTATTTGTATTGAGACAAGTCAGGTGTACTAACCTTCCTGGCTTGATGATTCCACTAACATCATGAAGTATTGACAATAGTGTCTTTCTGCTTGGTTGGTAGAATGTGAGAGTTCAGGAGTCCCTTCAAATTAAAGAGATAGTGGGTCAGCAAGATAGATTCATGACTAGCTCTCTTGCTCTTCATCATATAATAATAAATATCCAAAAGAAATTTAGTTTGTGTCCTAGTAGTGTTAATTCAGTAAAAAAATTGTCTCAAACATGCTAATAGAGAAGTTGAAAGCTCACCAATGAAATAGAGTAGAGCAGGTAGTTGGTCCTCGTGTCCTGCAGCCTGTCACTCATCAATGAATAGGATAGAGTAGGTACGTTGGTCCTCATACCCTGCAGCTTGCAACCTATGTCGATTGAATGACCATGAAAGTATAGAAGAGGATATACACCCTATATGAACCTTAAGAGAAAATGAAATATTTGAAGCACAACCATCTTTTACCTATTTTACTGAAACAAAACCACGATTTTTCTCAAGGAGGTTGCTGAACATGGATCAAGCATGACATGTTTCACCCATCGCATCAGGTGAGTTTGCCATCTGATCTGAGAGCTCTTTCTTCAAAGAAGTTGGCATTCCTGATATCTCCTGAAAAACATACACACCCCGCATAGCAAATGGAAAGCTTCATTAACTACAGTCCACAAGCAATCGTACCACAAGCCATTTACTACCATTTGAATACAAAAGCAAAAAGACAGATGTAGTCAATGATGTTTGGAAAACATATTCAGAATCCTAATCTATAACTCATCCGGAAGCTAAGACACTCTTGAATCTGTTACAGCCAATTAAGCAACAGATGTTTGGAAACAAGAAGTTCCTAAAGGGGAGTGTGGTAGATCACTACCTTCATGAGATGACATCACAACTTGGAGTAGTTGAATTATAAATCAGCAGCAGCTTCCTTTTTCTCTTCAATCTGCCAATTTAGTCATTATACATTAATCATTATCATACAATGTTTCACCTCATCGAAAAGCTTTTTCAGAAGTCAGAACAGTTCCCACCTAGGAGATCAGAGGCCACACAAACAGTAAGCAAACCAGAGCGCCATTAAGTTCAGGCATGTATCTCTATGAGATAAAATATCAAACACCTTAAAGCTCGATTATGTTACCTCCTTGGTGTCGCACGCTTGACTATAGTCAATATGTCGGTATCCGATATGCATTGGAAAACAGAGAAGCCACTTCTGCATAAGAAAATAGAAAATGCTAATAACTATAAATATTCAATTGGAACTTGTGCTGAGTTTGTGATAAGGCGGGATCCTTGAATAACTCGCAGATGAATGGAGCTTAAAGGTTCATAGTGAACACCTGCAGTAACATTTTCAAGACTTGTATTCATCATCAAACAAAACAATTAGTGTTTCTTAACACAGAAAGAGAAATAATGCAGCAATATACCTTGTTGGTTGCGGCTGCATATTCAGCAACAAGCTGGATGGAGTCAGGGGACACAGTAAGGAAGAATCCAGCAATGTAGAAGTACTTGGCCTTCTCAACTGTATGAAAAAACCTATCCCAAACAAGTTGGTTCCTCCACATTTCCAAGTGCATAATAATAACAACAATAGGATAGATAGATAGATAGAGAGGAAGGGAAGTTGTTACCCAATGCCCAATTGGCTTGTTTCTAGAGATGGTCAGGCTTATAGTAGTTTCTGCTGATAGATTTGCTACAACTGATCTATATATATAGAAAACAAATTAAAGCAATCAGAGACCAGAACATAATGTAAAATCCTAGAATTTAAGGGATCTGAGTACAACTAGCAAGGATAAGCATTAAGGGAGACGAGTAATAGGTGAAATTAAGGGGGGGATGACTTTTTATTTGATTTGGGCATGGAAGGGGAGGAGACGAAGAAGCAGAGCATCGTCCCTTTGTTGGTTGCGTCTACGTCGAGCGCCATAGTAAAAAAGGCACCGGAGAGCCAATCCATGTTCCTTTGTCTTCTGCTGCTTCTGACTTCTACCTTCTACTCTTACATGGACAGAATGTTCTATCTACCACAACAAGAAGTATTGTTTCCGATCAAAATATAAGAGAGACTGATAGAGAATAACCTATTGATTTCAATCGGGGATTTGAATCTCTATCAAATTTCACGAACAGCTACCAGAGAGTTCATTAACCGCCCATCGAATCAGCTTCGTCGGAGATGCTATCGGCAAAGCTTGCATGTTGGAGTTCGTTAACCGCCCATCAAATCAGCTTCCTCGGAGACGCTATCGGCAAAGCTAGCATGCTGGAGTTCGTAAAACGCCCATCGAATCAAAGCTCGCACGCTGGAGCTCGTTAACCGCCCGTCGAATCAGCTTCGTCGGAGACACTATCGGCAAAGCTCGCATGCTGACTAGGGATTTTTGTGCTATGGAGAAGAAGAAGCATTAGAAGATGGAAGTGGGAAGTTGCACTGGACTAGGGATTTGTTTCTTTAGATTTGGGACTGAGATTATTTTTGTCCAGTAGATGAAATGATGGTTTAATTACTTAATCCCCTAGCAAGGGTTCCACAACCCCTGAAATATACCGCATCTACGGGAGTTTCAGGAAACACAAACAGGGGTTTCATGAACCCCTGCTACCAAACCCTTGCCATAGACTCATTTTCTTGTAGTGCTAACTCTCTTCATCCATGGGCGGTGCATGGAAAAGAGATGGGCAAGCTTTCTTAGAGTGTCCGTATCGTCCACACTCTAGGCATATATTATGTAGTCCCTCAAACTCCACATAATAGGTGATGCCTTCAATCTTGTACTGGGATAGCAGAGGCTTCGTTAGGTCAACCTCCACACTGACCCTAGAAAACCGTCCACGATCACCAGTCTGGGTAGCACGATCAACCCTTATGGGTCACCCTATTCTGGATGCAATGCGTTCCACTGCTTCACTGTTAATAAACTCGCGGGGCAGGTTTGGAAGTTTTGCCCATACCATTGTTGAGGCAACCTCCCCAATCATCCATGGCCCGCCGGCCGCAGCTTGTTCGTAGTCCACCTAACTTGTGAATCTGACAGCATAGAAACTGTAGGAGAGACTCGAAATCTGTAGCATGCCACACTTAGCCCACAACGATTCCAAGCGTTTCGAGATCACTGGAAACGGGAACGTGCGGCCTAAGACCTTCACGATGAGAGCAGAACGCCATTCCCTTCTCCACCTTTGTTTCTCCATTGCCGTGAAGGGGATCGTTGGGAAGCGGGGATCATCATCCTCCGGCACCTCATTGTCGAGGTCGTCCTCTCTCATAGCAGCAGCTACATCCTCAGATTCGTCCTCTCTCATGTGTTTAAATTCTCACGATTCTAGAAATATTGATTCTTGTCTTTAGCGCACAATATGGCGGATTTTTACAAACTTCAAACTTCATGAGTTGAATTTCGTTTGAGACGATATTAATATATGAAAAAATTGCATCTCAAAAGCTACCATGAGTTGGCCAAACAAGAGCTTGATTTTGAACTTAGAGCGGGATGAACGTTTGTGATACCCTCTCAAGTCTTAACCAACACACCCTGATAAGGAATGTTTCTTTTATAAGAAATCGTTATATAATATCGTTCATTATGATCCTAAATCTGTCTCACCAATATACATCCACACCTTCTCGTTACGAATTACGTATTGAACTACGTACTACAATCAAGCATGAAACCATTTGGATAACATTAGATAGAGGCGATCCTTTTTACCAAATAATGCAAATAACACACGTAACGTAACAGACACCGAAGCTTAGGGGCTAGCTGCGATGCTGATCCACTTGATCGCCCAAAAAATTGATTCAGCCAGGTTAATGTTTTGCTTGTGATGGGAAGATCGGGTAATCAGGTTCGCAAGTCTGTCAAGTTACTACTCTTATTTTCACTAAAAAAAGCTACTCTTATGTTATTTTTATGCATCAACTAACACCGATCTCAATATATTTTGTACTTGTAATTCAAAATGTATTTTTTACGGGTAACACATATGCATATTGAAGATGGTACACGTATTCTTCACAACACATGCTAACATTATTCGCAATATATATTCAATGAGATTATTCTCAACAGTTGCTACTCAATAAATGCTAAGTGTATTTATAACATGTATTACGCATATTTACAATGGATCAAGTATATTGTACTAATATGTCAAGTGCATTTAGTAATGGCAATGGGGCAGGTCCGTGGCGGGTATCTCGATACCCATACCTGCGCCGTGGCAGGTCGGGTTCAGGTCGAGTAATTTATCATGGGGCGCGGGTCGGAGCAGGTCGACCCAATGGGTATGTAATTTATGCGAAAAACATTAGAAATAATCATTATTTTCATTAAAAGACCAAGAAAGAAACCATTATATGATAAAATGTAGTTAAGTTATTGGAGAAATTGAGGTTTTTACTTCTTTACAACTTTATTATAGCTAAAATATGAAGTAATCAGAGGAAAATCCTAAGTAATTTGACTAAGATTACATGTAATTTAGGCAGGAACGGTCAAGAATGGGGCGGGTCGGGACAGGTCGGATCGATGAGAGGTACCCATACCCGCCCCACCTACGGGGCGGGTCGAACCTACCCAAAATAGGCCAAACAAGTCGGGTAAATCGGGTCAGGTCAAAACTACCATCCCTAAGTGCATTGTCTAATTATGTCAAATAATGTGTTGTGTGCATAATTTGGTCTATACATCCACAAAATTTGTTAAATATGCCCAAAAGCCAAAACATATAAAGATGGGTAAAAAAATGATTAGTTAAAGGTTGCTTCTTCACTATTTTTTTTTGGGTATCTTAACTACTTTCTAATGATCACACTTAATTTGTGATGATGTGGTGCTTGTTAACACATATATGCACGTTTTGTAATTAAGAAAACATCATTTACGAGGAATTTTACAATGCTATATAGCATTGGTGCTATAGGTTTTTACTTTTATGGTACAACTTGAAATTGTACCTTTAATGTTATGGTACAATTTCAGATCGTACCTATACTTTTTGTACAAATTCTTTTATGGTACAACTTAAACTTGTACCTTATGTGATGGTACAATTTCAAGTTGTAAAGTTGTACCATAACATAATGATACAAATTCTTTTATGGTACAACCTAAACTTATACATTTAATGTTATGGTACAACTTCAAGTTGTACATTAAAGCACCAATACTATATAGCATAGTAGAAGTGCTCCATTCATTCGCAATATATATGTGGTGGATAATTCATTGCTAAAAAGAAAAATTCCGGTGGAGAATCACTAGAGAGAGAGATATGAACTGGAGCTTAATTGCTACCACCACTTTGATTATAGGCTCTGATTGTTACACGACTGAGCTAAACCGCCAACCCAAGCTAACTAGCTATCGCTGACAAGGATTGCTTTCCTTCACCAACAGGCTTCTTTTTGTAAGTTGAATGTTGAATAATGACTATAATAATTCAGTTACAGTGTCTAACGAAATTTCCTTCTACCTAAATAGATATGCTGTTTGGTTATTGATTAGCTATCCCTTTCAAAATGGCCACCAGGGACTCATCTAGAGAGAAGAAGATTATTGAAAACTATTAAGGGCAGTTGTGCTCATTTATACGAAAAGAAATATGCATATAAATGGCCGACCTAGAAAACACCCATCTTACCTACTTTCTTATTGCATAATTTCTAATCCCTTTTCCGAATCAACTTGCTATATTTTTTAAACAACTCATCTATCAACAGTTCAATACTACAGAATACAGATGAGTGCCCTTCTCTTTCTGTGCCATAATGAGACAATTATCATCGTGACTTGTAAATGACGTCAACGATTCGGTTCACATTATTCAAATTTCACGAACTTTTAGAAAGTTGAGAAAGAACGGGTTGAATAAAAATCAAATTAACCTAATCAGATGAATACAAGAAAATACACCATTATATGATAATGACATGATTTTCTATTGTCGATCGGGTCCTGTAACAGTTTCTTATCGAGCTAGACCTTGATCTTAATTCCCAACTCTAGAAAATTGCTATAAATACACAGCAAAAATCTCAGTTATGATTAGTTCCCGACATACATTATTAAGTTGATAATCTTCATAGTTTAAGCATGAGAACCAAGAAATTAATCAGAAAGCTTACCTTCAAGAAATTCATAATGAAAGTCTAGATAGAGAGAGAGAGAGAGAGATGAATAATCAAGGAGTGGAAGAGGAGGATATTGACGCGGCTCAATCAAAATCACATGGCTAATGAATTAACAACATATATCATCGGTGGTAATAACAGCTAGCCCTAGCCATGCCTTTAAGATTGAGGCGCGCCAATACCTTCATCATCATCATGATTAATCATTGGGGTACACATAGCCAAAGGTCAGCCACGTCCTCCCATGTTCCACCACTGCTGCCCGCCGTCGTCGCCGCCGGCCGGTAGGAACTCCGTCGGGAAATCGTTGTTGAGTCTGACATACTGATCAATAAGAGGAGAATAAAGAAAGAGAAAACGGGGGAAGGAGTGGGAGAGAAGGATGTGGGGAGCGCATATTATTGTGGGTTGGGTTGGAGGAGCTATCTGGAAGATCCCCACTTTTGTTTTGGTTTAGTTGACGGATATTGTGGTAGCTGAATATCTTAGCTCCAAGCAGTTAGCCGATTAATATATCTAATAATGCCACTTGAGATTACTTGTGTTATTTATATGGGAAAAGGGTTGTCAGGGGAGCTAGAAAATCTCGACTAAGCGATTCCTTTGTATGACATATATAAATAAATTTATACTGATTCATAAAATTGTAAATTTGGGTTTTGTTACCTTCATTAGACCCATTTACTTAAATCGGTTCGATTAGTTTTCCCTGCAATTTGAATGAGTTTTCGAAAAATAAATAAATAAAGTGAGATAGTCGGGAGTCTCGGATTTTCAGAATTTTAAAATTCGATCCATATAAAACCTTGTTTTGTTGCTAAACATGCATGCTAGATAGCCCAACTAATAAAACTCTCGAGAAACTCTCGACCGGAAAGTTTGAGATCTCATATTTGATCCACCTCATTTTTTGTTTAACAAATAACTTGTTGAGATTTTCTTACAAGGAAAAATGGAGGTGAGGATGGAAGGTGGAGGGAGGTCTTGTATAGTTGTTACCATAATAGTGTTAGCTTCCCATCTACCCATCTTCTATATATCCTTCTTAATTTCTTATTTACAAATGGCTTTATAATTAGTTCAAACACATAACCAAAGTCACCATATATCCCCAATGTTTAAAGTCTCGTGAATAAGGGTGTTCAAATGGTTAACATAGTAACTATTTTTTTTTTTTGAAAAACATAGTAATTATCAAACCAAATAAGTCTAAATTCTATTAATCATGGAATACAATATCATAACCAAACCGTTCAAACTAATACAAGAACCAAATTAACCAAAGTAAAGTTTAATCGGTTAGGTTAATTGGTTAACCAAAATAACCAAACACACATTATCATTAAGTGAGAAAATTTTCCAGTTAGTGCATCGATTCGCAATTCATATAATGAATAACACATAACAATGAACTCATAATTATTCTAACCCTTAACATAAATACATGTAATAAATAAAATTATATTTAATTTGACTCTTGAGTGATTATGCAAAGTATTAAGTATGTGTATATAATATATATTAGATATATGACTTATTACTTAATTGATTAATTTGGTTTGATTGGTCAGGAGTGTCTGAAACCAAACCAAACAAGTTAAAAAAAAATAATCAAACCAAACCAATTATCCATATTAACCAAACCAAATTATCCAAATACTACCGGTTAAAACGGTTATCACATAACCGCACCGTTTAAACAACCTGGAGACTCGTCTCAACAACTTTGCTTTTTAGGTACGACTTTATAAACAAAAAGGTTCCAGAAAATGTCAAATTTATCTGCATTTTTGTTTCCTTTCTCACTCTCTTGTTGGCAAACGAAATTATTTTGAAATGTTATTATATATACCTTATTAGAATGTTGTGTTATAATTTTCACAATCTATACGGTAAGAATATTTAAGCTATTTTAAAATATTAGCGGCCAATTGAAGGGAAATTTTTTCTGATTGTGACTTTTTTAAATTAGGTAATTGAAAAAATTAAATTATTTAATAACACGAGCACTTCTACTATGCTATATAGTATTGGTGCTTTAATGTACAACTTAAAGTTGTACCATAACATTAAATGTATAAGTTTAGTTGTACCATAAAACAATTTGTACCATAAAAAAATTTGTACAAAAAGTATAGGTACAATCTAAAGTTGTACCATAACGTAAATGTACAATTTTAAGTTGTACCATAAAGGCAAAATCCTATAGCACCAATACTATATAGCATTGTAAAATTTCTCTAATAACAGACAAACTTATAAATAACAATTGAACCCGAATCCATGATTATCCAACTTGTTCCACTGCGGTCAAAGCAGGGGAAAATCATTTTTTACGGATTTTGGGTTATATGTAGGTTTTACTTACTTTTAAAATTGGTGGGTTAGATTTTAGCAAAACCCAACTCGCTTTCCACCTTACTTGCACAGAAAAAGAAAAATTATATCATTTTGTGTAATCGTAATAATATTAATTATTATAGATGTTATTGTTCTTTATGAAAATATATTTTAAATAATTTTAGAGAAATAATGTGTGACTATGGTATAAACGCATACATACTCATACATTTGTTGGTGCTCGTTTGATTGAATTTTTCTAAAATCCCACAAATATTTTGACAAATTTTGTGTGAGTGCGGTGGATGATTTGAGTTTAGAGAAAATCAACCCCACCCGTTAATCCATTATTATCATCTAGAGAGACTCCCAAAACATTCTAGATATAATCCAGCCTTCTGGACGAATCTGTCTTCAGATTGGGTCTTCTGGATCTAAAGCCCATAATAAGAAATGCAAGCCCTGGATCCACTCTCTCAGATGGCCCAATAAAATTTACGCCTGATTTGCCAAGACCTACTTCATCTACAATCTACAAGATATATAAAAGCAAAACATGGGTTGGAGTTGTCCGTTTTCAAATTTCGTAGTCTGAGACGGCTAGTGATTCTAGAAAGGTCATTTTTGTAATTGCACTCATTTCATCTTTATATATTAAAAATGTTATCATTGGAGTTAGAACTCTGATCAGTTAAATGAAGAAAGAGCATTATAACCATCTAGACTACATTGTGTTTATTATTATGTTTTTTATTAAACTCTAGGAATATGTTTGGTGATGATGCTTCTATATTTATAGTTTATCTTAAGTTATTTATATTTGATAGAAAGACGTTAGTTCTGAAATCGAAACTCAATTAACATTGATTCAAACATTAATATTAAAGTGTATGTGTAGTTTAGTTTAGTTTAGTTTAGACAAAATACAGAAGTGTAACCAAAACATGGACCTTTGTAACGAGTATAGTAATTTTTTTGACCAAATCTACGCATAATATAATGATAAAATTGGAAAATGAGAGTCTCCTTTTAAATTTTGTGGTCTTAGAGTGATTCTACGAACTTCATTTTCGTCATAGAGCCAAATTTTTGTTTATATTATGTATAGATTTGTCACAAAAAATTACTATATATGTCACGGAGACCCATATTTTTGCTACACACATGTATTTTTATCTAAACCGTACCACACATATAATTTAATATTTAATGTTTAAATCAATGTTACTTGAGCTCCGAATTCACAATTAATTACATTCTATAACATATAATAATTTGGTTTATCTTCTTGATTTTACCCACTAAATGTCCTTTGGGTTCGGATTTTACCCTACCCGATTAGGCCGGATTCGGGCGGATATTCATGGTTACAGATATTTGTGCCATCCCGGGTACTAATTGGGTTAGGTGAACACTAATATACAAAGGTTCCTACCTATGTATTTCTGAAGTGGTACTTGGTGGTACCATAGTAATCTTCCCCTCAAGACTAGGACCACAAACTTCGTGTCCTCACTCAACAATTATCTTGATTTGCTAAACAGATTGGATCACAGATTTTGTTAGACCCAAGGATTAACCAAATGCATATCCCCCTTGATTTTCCAGATAGATGCAAAGCTCTTTCGATTCGCCAAACCAATGTCGATCTTCTTTGATCCACCAGACAAATGCGGATATCCGATCCTTTGATGCGAAAAACAAATACATATATCAATTCCCGATATCACATAATGATGGTCCAACGCCTCAGATCGAAACTTCAAACCAGGTTCTAATATCACTTGTTTAAATCGGGTAGCACCATCAGTACGATATGGTTCGCTTTGCGCCAAGCCAACATAATGTACATTTGGGTATTATCTCCAAAAGGCCTCGTACTAATTGAGATAGATGGACACTTATATACAATGATGTCTAGCCTTGTATTTCCGATGTGATACTTGGATTATTCCCATCCAATCATCCCCTCAAGACAAGAACCACAAATTTCGTGTCCTCTCTCAAGGATTATCTTGATCCGGCAAACTCTTTGTATCGCTGACTTTGCTCGACACATGGATTTACCATGACAGAAGCCTTACTTATGGCCAACGATTGTAATTTATCGATTTCAATGCCTAGATCCATTCGAGAGAAAAAAAAGAATCTAAGGGTTCGTTTGGAGAAAATGATTTGCGTTGTAGGTTCATTAAATTTATAAATTTTGCAGAAAGTTGTGTTTTTTGCATCATGAATTTTTTCTAGAGAGATTTCAAATATTTAAAATCTATAGATATAAAATCTCACATTATCAAAGAGATTATATATCTTGAGTTGTGAGAGTTTTGTTAGTACTGCTTTATCTTTTCTTTTTTTATTTATCCCACTAAATCTCTTCATCAATAAATTCTCAAATTTTTTTATTGATTCTTTTGGTTAAATCTAAACATGTCATCTGCTACAAAAGGTAGCATTTAAATTTTTATTGGATGATAACAATCGAGACTTGTTTTAGTTGTAATACTACTAGTCTTGAAACTGAAGGATCAGATTCAAATCTTTTAAATAATACCTAACAACAAAAACTTAACCGACATCACTCTTATAAAAGAATAATAATAGTGATCAAGTAATAAAAATTTTAAAAAGGAGAATTTAAATATTCGAATGGCTTACAATTTAGAGATTTAAAATCCAATTCTCCAACACTGTGAAAAAAATAATCTGGATTAGTGTAGGAGTTCTCTACCACGTTAAACAAATGCTTCATAAGAAAGCATTAATATTATTTCTTTCCGTGAACAAAGTTTGAACCGATCTGAATTATTCAACCTTTTCCCTGGCCGATTTGGGTAACTCCCACGAACCCTACACTACACAACTGAAGCCGGCTTCAAAGACCTCCGGCAGAGTGACTTTATCCAAGCTTTGTGATCAGGGCGGCTATCCTTGTTGTGGATCATAGTAATCAACAAATCTATGATTCAAAGGAAAATGGCAAAATTGCATACGGCCTAAGCTTCCATATAAATAGTACATTAGAGGGGCACTCTCTCAATCAACCAACACAGTCTAGCACCCTGTTCCACATTGATATCTTAAGTTAGTACTCTTAACTCTTCCTATACTCACTCTGCTCCAAGTTTGGCAATGGCGAATCAGGCTGCCCTTGTGTTCAACCTATTGCTGACGGCTCTCGCCTTCTGCTGCATCACCTCTGCCTCTGATCCGTCTCCTCTACAAGACTTCTGCGTCGCAGATTCCAGCAGCCAAGGTATTTATAGGACTTTGAATATCCGGCTCAATCTATAGTTTGATTATAATGTTCTACATATGTATTTTATTCGATTCGGTTTACTCTTCGCAGTCAAAATGAATGGCTTAGCTTGCAAGAATCCTGCGACAGTCCAAGCAAACGATTTTTCCTTCAGTGGGCTCCACATTTCTGGGAACACAGCCAATGCTGTTGGTTCCGCGGTCACATCCGCCACGGTGACTCAAATTCCTGGTCTCAATACCTTAGGCATCTCAATGGTGCGGGTCGACTATGCTCCTTGGGGTATCAACCCTCCTCACACTCACCCGCGAGCCACCGAGATCCTCACGGTTATCAAAGGCACTTTGAAAGTTGGATTCGTCACATCGAACCCTGATAATCGACTTATCTCCAAGATTCTTCGGAAGGGTGATGTATTTGTCTTTCCAGTTGGGTTGATTCATTTCCAGCAGAACGTTGGGCATGGAAATGCCGTAGCGATTGCTGCATTGAGCAGCCAGAATCCCGGGGTCATCACTGTTGCTAACTCTGTCTTTGGATCGAAGCCTGACATTTCAGCTGACATTCTTGCTAAGGCGTTTCAGTTGGACGAGAGCATCGTGCGACAACTGCAATGGACATTCTAGAGAAATTTACTCACTGTTTTTTTAAGCATTCTTGTGATGTTGCAATCAATTTGATTAGTTACTGTTTAAATGTTTAATTATTCATATTTATTTTGCAATTAGGTGGTATCAAGTTTACTGGAATTCAATTCACAGTTAGTGTTCCTTTGATGAATCGTTGATCAAATCCTTTCAATGGTTTCATTTACTTAATTAAGATGTTGCAGACATTCAATTTTAAATTAATTCCTTGTGGCCTTGAGTGTTACGAACGGAACAACAAGAAGAACGAGGTTACCGAATCTGGAGCTGAGTTGCGGACTAGGTCGCTCTCTTTAAGACTTCGCAGCACTGCCTTCGATGCGCACGACAGACTATCAACCGGTCGTCTCCAGGATAAAACAGCTCCTCTCAATACTCACGGTTTTGTGCGAAAACCGGAGCTCTCTGAACACTCTCTCTATTGTATTTATGCTCGTTGTGATGTGTTTAGAAGGGCTGGGGAGGCGACTATTTATAGGATCCGAACCCCTAGGAATATACCCTCTTGCTTGGGGAATAAGTCGGATTAATTAAGGAAGATAATTACTTCCTTAATTAAAACCGTCGGTTAAGATAAACCCGGAGGGATTATCCTTCGAATATTCATTTTTCAGTCCATTATCCTTAGAATATTCCTCATAATAACCGATTAATAATTAATTATTAGATAAATAATTTCGTTCGGAATTTCTGCAAAAAATATATATGTAGTCTCAAGTGAACCAACCAACCGACCGGCCGGTCGGACGGACGGTGCGCGTGTGGTGGTCCGTTAGGTCCTCCCACAAAAGTGGGTCACCCCAAGGGCATGCCCTTAGGAGAGAGGCTCCTATCTTTATATCCATTTCACCAAGTAAAACTACCAATGTTGTAGTTTTTCCACTTGAGACTCTATAGCTTTCAAAGCTATTCATATACATTTCCAACAATCCCCCACTTGAATAGTTTTGAAACTATCTCTGAGCATTAACAGTTCCACAAGATCGGGCATAAGCAAAGGTATCGCGAAGATTTGAACCTTAGCGTAGTGGTTACACTTCCGATTTCATAAGGGTGACTCGTAGTCTTGAACCCTATCTCAGATAGTGTAGCACACCGGATCTTTTCATTGAGTTGTGTTCTCTTCTTAGCCCGTGCGTTTATGGCCATGCACGTTATCCTTGTTTAGTGAACGCTCTAGCAACTTTGTGCCTCCAAAGTTCCATAGGGAGCGGCCCCACTCCCACATTCACATAGGTGAGTCTATCAGGAGTACCCCCAAAGTAAAGTACTCCACCCCACATAGGGTATAGATCTCATTAAGAGTTATTCACTCAACCTCCATTGCTTTGGGATTCATGCTTCACTATGCATGAACTTTTCGAATACTACTCATGACTTGTTATTACCCATTGAACGGGACGGGTTAGCATGCTAACCCCTTAAGGGGTTGGTTTTTTGACACCCCCCTTTTAATTGGTCAATTTTTCATTAATTATTGACTAGTATTAATGAAAGTAAACATAATAAATGTTCTGTTATTAAATACAAAGTAAGCATTAAATACACCACATTAATTACCACTTTACTGGTATTTGTACCACTGCACTGATACTCAGATATGACATTGCTACCAGTGCACTGATATCACTACCAGTGCAGTGGTATATCTACCAGTACAGTGGTACAACGTATCAGTGCAGTGGTATATCTACCAGTACAGTGGTACAACGTATCAGTGCAGTGGTATATCTACCAGTACAGTGGTACAACGTATCAGTGCAGTGGTATATCTACCAGTACAGTGGTACAACCTATTAGTGCAGTGGTATATCTACCAGTACAGTGATACACCGTATCAGTGTAGTGGTATATTTTTTGGAGGTGGTCGGAGGGAGTCCGCCGATGGGATTTTCACCGGAGAAGTGTGGCGGTCGGAGGAAGTCTGGTGGTCGGAGACTGCTAAAAAAGGAAAAATCAAATATAGTGAGAGAATTCCTAATGTGTATTTAATGTGTGTATTTAATTCCTAATGTGTATTTAATAGTGAGAGAATTCCTAATTAATATGGTACATTTAATTCCTAATGTGTATTTAATGTGTGTATTAAATTCTATAGTTGTATTTAATATACTAAGGGGTGTCATTTTTCCAACCCCTAAGGGGGTTAGCATGCTAACCGACCCCATTTCTTGGGATCTCCAGTCTATTGGGTCGGGTTACCATCACTTGTAGTCCGTGGTTCGGGAGGCATAAGTCTCGTACCCTTGGCGGTATTCTGGACTTTCTCTCTAGGTAATCCTTTCGTCAAAGGATCAGCTAGATTCTGTTCGGATCTTATATGATCCACCCTCACTGCTCCTATCGTTAGGAGTTCTCTTACAGTACTGTGCTTATGACGAATCTGTCGTTTCTTTCCGTTATATAACCGGTTCTCAACTTTAGCGATAGCTGCAGTACGATCACAATGGATCAATACCGGAGGGACCGGCCTTTCCCATGGGGGAATCTCTGACAACAATCCTCTCAACCAACTTGCTTCTTCACTAGCCGTTGCTAGTGCTATCATCTCTGACTCCATAGTTGATTGAGCTAGGATTGTTTGTTTCTTTGACTTCCAAGACACAGCTCCACCAGTGATGTTAAAAACATACCCGCTGGTTGCCTTGGAGTCATCTGATAGGGTATTCCAATCCACATCACTATACCCTTCTAGTACAGCAGGAAACCTTTGATAGTGTATACCAAGGTTTGCTGTTCTCTTAAGGTATCTCATGACCCTCTCTATAGCATTCCAATGCTCTCTACTAGGACAGCTGTTAAACCTGCCAAGCAATCGCACGACATATGCAATGTCTGGTCGAGTGTAATCCGCTGCATAACGGAGACTGCCAATGATGCTAGCATATTCTGATTGTCTTACACTGTCTCCAGTGTTCTTAAATAGCTTTACACTAGCATCATACAGAGTACACGCAGGTTTACAGTCGAAATAGTTATATTTCTTCAAGATCTTCTCTATGTAGCTAGATTGATCTAGAGAATAACCATTTGCTGTTCTAGTTATCTGGACTCCAAGCATAAACTTTGCTTCTCCCAGATCTTTCACCTCAAAGCTCTCTTTTAACATGGCTTTTGCTTCATTGACCAAGTGAATATTTGTACCAAATATCAACATGTGACTCGACTCTACTGTCACCCTAGGAATTGGCCAAGTGAAACCACTTCCTAAGGCGTAGTATAGCGGGTTAGGTTTATATGTCAACCCGGGTCCTAGATCTGATGACTACTCAGTGAGTTCTTGTTATCTAGCAATGAAACTGGAATGCAAGTCTAAACTACCAAACAAACAAAGCAAGTAAACTGTTGTATTCAGGTTAAAGAGGTCACCCGCATATGGTTCCCCCTAGACTGCAGTTAAGCCGGATTGTAATTACCAAGTTCAGTTTCTATGATAGTTATACTGCGGACGGTTCTTAAACAGCCTGAAGTCTCGACTAAAGGTCTTCAGACCCTCTCAATCTGAATCTCTAGCGGGCGACTAACCTCCACCGGAGTAGACAGATTGAGGACCTAAGAACAAAACCTCCACTACCGGAGTAAATCCGGTACATAATAGTGAGTTGGTTCCTCTACTAAAGTCACCAACTCCCTACCTTCAATCAAGGATACTCTATCAACCTAGGCAGATATTCTCATTCTAGGTTAAAGCAGAAACAACAGGAATTTTATCAGGATTCAAGTCATTCAATCATTAAAACCTCAATCGAATATAATCAATCACAGAATCAGTACTTGGGTTCATACAATCAAAGCCTAACATACAAATCTAGGGTTCTCCATACCCAGATGAATGGGAGAACTACTCCATGGAGAAGAAAGCAAAAGCAGAATCAGACACGGAATTCATACTGCGAAGGACGGATTCCGGCTCCTGGACGTTGATTGGCACTTCTCCAAGCTCAAGCTGGCCTCCAATGGTGTTGAAGATCAATCTAGGGCACTTGGGAACTCTTGCTCGTCACTTTCTCTCTCTAGAAGTCGTTCTATCTCTCAAAAACTCGAATCACCTTGAGTTGTGGCTGAAAATCTGCTTAAAAGCATAAGTGGCCAAAGCACGGTCGAGGGCCCGACCGTGCTTTGCCTGACTCCGCCCGTGTCTCGTCCAAGGCTTAATTACAAGGCCAGCAATTGGGAAGAAACACGGCCGTGCTTCGCGTTGGACACGGCCGTGCTTTTGTGGAACACGGCCGTGCTTTGAAACAGCCCTGCCCGTGTAATCAGCTCAGCTCTTGGCATAAAAAGCACGGCCATAGGAACACGGCCGTGTAATGCCTTAGGTGTGCCCGTGTTTTGGCCCCAGCTTGACGAAATGACCTCCGAATGCCCCGAAACTCGTGGTTAGCCTTCCCTTTGACGCCTGGGACCTGAAATATGACAAAATAGCACAACCCGGCGTAAAATAGGCCAAAACACACGACTATACTCCTCAAACGGATAAGAACTAGGGGCGCAAATATGTGCAATTACATCGTTATCAACATGTCTTCTACATACAAACATATGATAGTGCAAGTGTTATTTTCTGACTTGCAGTAAATACACTTGTCACTTTCATTCACCTTAAAGCCATGTGAGAGAACGAGAGTGTCAAACTTCTCATGCCACTATTTTGGAGCCTGTTTCAAACCATATAATGATTTGTCTAACTTACAGACTTTCGAGGCATGTTCGGGGATAACAAACCCTTCTGGTTGTTCCATATAGATTTCTTCATCCAGATCTCTGTTCAAAAAAGCTGTCTTAACTTCCATTTGGTGTACCACGAGATTGTTCAAGGCAGCAAGAGCAATCATTACACGAATGGATGTTATTCTTGATACTGGTGAATAGGTATCGAAGAAATCTATATTCTCTCTGCCTGTAGCCCTTAACTACTAGGCGAGCTCGGAACCTTTCGATTGCACCATCAGGTTTCCGTTTCGTTTTTAGAACCCATTTATTACCTAAGACTTTGCAGCCAGGAGGTAAGTCTGTTAGATGCCAAGTCTTATTAGCTTCTAACGATTCCATTTCATCTATAACGGCCTCATTCCAAAAATCTGCATCTACGGAAGTTAATGCTTCCTGCAAACTTTTTGGATCTTCGAGGGTGAATACTGTAGTAAAGGCATCACCAAAATCTTTAGAGATTCTAGCTCTTTCACTTCTTCTGAGTTCATCCTCAGAATCAACACCCCCACTAGTTCCGTTATCTCTAATAGCGGGTATTACATTACCCCCACTATTTCTCGTTTTAAGTGGAAATCGTGTCTCAAAGAAATCAGCATCAATGGATTCTATTATAGTACGAGCATTCAAATCATAGAATCTATATGCCTTACTATTGGCCGCATAGCCAACGAAGACACATTCATATGCTCGACTAGCCAATTTAATCCTCTTAGGATCTGGAATTCTTACGTAGGCCAAACAGCCCCACGTTCTTAAATAGGACATATTAGGTGGCTTATTCTTCAAGATCTCATAGGGTGATTCTTTTCTATTTGTTTTTGGAAGACGCTTTAGCACATAGCAAACTGTCAACAAAATATCACCCCACCAAGAAGAAGCAGCTCCAGAATTGAGCATAATAGCCACAACTAATTCTGTAAACGTCCTATTTTTCCGCTAAGCTTTACCATTCATTTCTGGTGAATATGGTGTCGTGGTTTCATGAATGATACCATGTGAGCTATATAATTCCTTGAAGGGATTAGAGTCATGCTCTGATCCTCTATCACTCCTAAGTCTTTTTATCTTTTGATTGCACTGATTTTCAAATTCAACCACAAATACCTTGGACATATCAAGGGCTTCACTTTTGTTTTTCATCAAATAAACAAAGCAATAATCAGAGCAATCATCTATGAAAGTGATAAAGTATCTCTTGCCAGACCTAGTTAACGTCCCATCTAGTTCACAAATATCAGAATGAATCAGATCTAAGGGTTCTGATTCTCTACTCACAGATTTATGGGGTGTTTTCGTTATTTTAGCTTGGCTACAGAAATCACATTTATCAAATTCATTCATTGAGAGTTTAGGGATATGTCCTAGCTTGCTTAAATTCTTCACAATTCGTGTGTTCACATGACAAAGACGAGCATGCCAAACATTCAAATCACACACCATGTAAACTGAAGAATTCATCTTATTAATTTCGACATTCAACTTGAACATCCCATTACATGCATATCCCTTTCCCACAAAACTCCCATTCTTAGTAAGGGTGTACAAGTCTGCCCTAATAGTTTGATTAAACCCAGCCTTATTAAGAAGATATCCCGAAACAAGATTCTTCTTATCTATGGAGTGTGCAACACATCCTTGAGCACCATCTTCTTCCCAGAGGTGAAGTTCAGCTCCACTTCACCAGAACCAGCAACCATAGTGGTGTGAGTAGTCCCCAACAACACTTTCTTGTCAGCAGGTGCTTCTGTGTATGTTTTAAACATAGCACGATTGTTGCATACATGCTTCGATGCACCTGTATCCAGCCACCATCCTTCTGAGTCACCGGTGAGGTTAACTTCAGCGATCATATCTGTGATCATGGATATCAAATCCTCTTCTGTCAAGTTAACCCTGGCCGCAGCGGCAGGGTTTTGCTTGTTCCGGCACTTTTTTGCCATATGACCCGGTTTTCCACAGTTATAGCAAATAAACGGTGGGTCATTCTTAGAGGTTTGGGCCATGACCCTTTGGTTACCTCGAGAGGCACCATTTTGGTGGGGGCGGACCTGCTGGTTCTTACTCTTAAACCCTTTCTGGTTAGATTTAAGAGCTCTAGGGGTGGGTCGTTTAGCAGTGACGACCATCACCTCTTCTTTCATATCCTGCTTGCGGGACTCTTCCTCAATCCTTAGGCGAGTAATCAAGCTTTCCAGTGAAAATTCTTTGGTTTTGTGCCTAAGCATATTCTTAAAATCTTTCCACGAAGGGGGCAGCTTATCAATAATGCAAGCAACTTGAAATTGATCGTCCAGAGGCATACCTTCAGAGACGATCTCATGAGCTATTTTCTGAAGTTCGTGGGACTGAACTTCGACGGACTTGTCATCCACCATCTGGTAGCGCAGGTAGCGGCTGACAGCATACTTCTTAGCTCCAGCCTCCTCCGTGTCGTACTTCTTTTGGAGCGCATCCCAGATCATCATCGCGGTGTTTTTACTGTCCGCATAGTAGTCGTAGAGATCGTCTGCCAGGCCGTTGATGATGTAGTTCTTGCACAGGAAGTCATGCTCCCTTTCTCTGACAGAAGTAGCCCTCTCCTCATCGCCCGCTTCTTCCGCCAGCTCGACGGGCATGCTGGTGAGGCAGTGTGCCAACTTTTTGGTCGTCAGGTAGAACTCCATCTTTTGTCTCCAGCGACGGAAGTTGACCCCAACGAAGCGAAAGGGTCGATTGATATCGACAGCACCAGATCCGGCCATGTTGTTCTGTTCAGTCGACATAGTAGCAGCCGAACGCCTTAAAATTGTTAGGAACGGAACAACAAGAAGAACGAGGTTACCGAATCTGGAGCTGAGTCGCGGACTAGGTCGCTCTCTTTAAAACGTTCGCGGCACTGCCTTCGATGCGCACGGCAGACTATCAACCGGTCGTCTCCAGGATAAAACAGCTCCTCTCAATACTCGTGGTTTTGTGCGAAAACGGGAGCTCTCTGAACACTCTCTCTATTGTGTTTATGCTCGTTGTGATGTGTTTAGAGGGGCTGGGGAGGCGGCTATTTATAGGAGCCAAACCCCTAGGAATATACCCTCTTGCTTGGGGAATAAGTCGGATTAATTAAGGAAGATAATTACTTCCTTAATTAAAACCGTCGGTTAAGATAATTAATTTCCTTAGAATATCCTTTAGATAATTAAAACCCAGAGGGATTATCCTTCGAATATTCCTTTTTCAGTCGATTATCCTTAGAATATTCCTCAGAATAACCTATTAATAATTAATTATTAGATAATTAATTTCGTTCGGAATTTCTGCAAAAAATATATATGTAGTCTCAAGTGAACCAACCAACCAACCGACCAACCGACCGGCCGGTCGGTCGGACAGACGGCGCGCGCGCGTGTGTGTGGTGGTCCTTTAGGTCCTCCCTCTCCCACAAAAGTGGGTCACCCCAAGGGGCATGCCCTTAGGAGAGAGGCTCCTATCTTTATACCCATTTCACCAAGTAAAACTACCAATGTGGTAGTTTTTCCACTTGAGACTCTATAGCTTTCAAAGCTATTCATATGCATTTCCAACATTGAGTTACGGTTCCTTTTTAACCACCAATGCAAACTAAAACTCTTTTCAACGCTCTCTCTCTCTCGTTCCAACGCCGCTGGCAATAGCTCCACCGGCGAACAAACCTCCGGACCCCCCACCTCAACAACAGCAACAGAGCACTCCTCAACCAGATGCAGGGGTGACGGTCAATCCGACCTCCTACAAAACCATTCTTACAGGCCATAATCTGGATAAAGCTGCCAAAGGAAGTCAATAGACTTTCGTGGGAGAACACGACATGGTAACCGGCACCCTCAATGGTAAACCGGCGCTTAACTTCTCAGAAAATTTCAAAGAAAGGCTATGTGATCCATGGAAAAGACTCTTGTGGTTCGCCTCCTAGGCTGATCAGTTTCCTACTCTTACCTTTGTTCCCAGCTTAGGTGGAAGTGGAGACCCACAGGAACATTGGATATCATAGATCTCAATAATGAGACCTTCCTGGTGACGTTCAACAATGATCAAGATTACCTTCTAGCGCTTACAGGAGGACCATGGGTGATTCTGGATCACTACTTACTGGTTCATCAATGGACACCTAGCTTCCGGTCGACTGACAAACCTCATCGATCGGTTGTCGCCTGGGTTCAGTTCCCCGAGTTGCCAGTTCACTTTTTTCATCGAGAAGTTCTTTTTGCAATTGGAAATTTGATTAGGCGCACAGTCAAGCCTGACTACCATACGGAAACGCTGCAAAGGGGGAAGTTAGCAAGGATCGCAATCGATTTGGACATGACAAAACCGCTTCCGACGATGGTATATCTTGACGGAGCACAACAATAGGTTATTTATGAAAATTTCCCCCAAATTTTTTATGAGTGTGGCAGAATCAGGAATCTGGAAGATCATTGCCCCGAGCGGAATCTTTCCATGGAGCTAACCTTGACGGTGGTTTCTAATGACACCTCGGTGAATCCACTGGTGAGCCAGTCTCTGGAGCTCCCCACCGGCTATGGTCCGTGGATGCAAGTCACGGGGAAATCACGGAAACAGACGAAGAACAAAATGGATAACTCGTCAAACTTACCTCTGTTAATTGGCATGGATTCAGGGAAAATCGCATCAAAACTTGGTGGAAAAGGGAAGGTGGACAATCATAAAGGCGCAATTTCAGCGGAAAAGAAAGGAAAGAAGAAAACCAAGGAAGAGCAGAAGAAAGGACTGCAAGGATCACAAAAGGGGAACTCAAGGGATATGGAAACAGAGGATTCTAACGGGAAAAAGAAAATGAACGGATACCAGGAGTGGCGGGTGAAGGAACACAAAGGAAAAAAAACCCACAAGCAAGCCCATCTCTAGCGTTAAAGGCCTAAAGCTCTCATATGGGCCAAGCCTCTTCTTCAGGATCGGCCCCCTTGCAGGAAGTGATTCAGGGCCCGAACAACACGATGATCCATCTCCTTTCGGTACCTAAGTTGACGACTGGCCATAAAGAGAATATTGACCCAAATTCAAATCGTATCTCAACCCGCCAATGTCCAAAGAGAAAGAAGGAGGAAAATCCCCAGATACAGTCTCAAAACAAAGGCATCAGCCTGAGAGCAAGCAAGAAGCCCCTTCAAATCAT